AGAGAGAGAGAGGACAATTACTATTTCTCATGTTAAAAGAAAATGATAATTGATATTTCCCTCAATTACTATTTCTCATTTTAAAAGAAAATGATAATTGATATTTCTCTTTGAATTTAGTAATAGTAATAAATAATAAATATATAATGCATAATAGAATATATACAAAAGAACTAAAATGGTAAACTAAGAATGAATATGACAAAATGGGGAAAAAAAAGGAGATACTTGTTGCTCGAATAAAGGGGTTAATACATAAATAGGTACATAATGCATATTGACAAGTCAAAACTCACAATGCATTAAAAAAATTTAATAATCGCTTTGAACATATCTAAATTTGAAGAAAAAGGCACTTGAAGTTTTCATATGTAAGGATTTATAGCACCGGGATCAACATTCTCTTGTTAAAGTAGTTCCACTTTTTTTATATTTTTTTGTGAAAGTGAAAGTAGTTTCCATTTTCTTCCCCATCAGATTTTCTTGGAAGATGACTTCAATACGTCACCAATCATCTTCTGAAACTAGACATGGCGAAGGTTTCCAACACCCATGGCACACAAGAACTAGTCTAACAAGTTGAGCAAACCAGGGGAAAGCAAATCCATGCCAACTACCTTGAAGCTGCTAATGAGACATGCTCACCCAATCATTCCTAGAGGTAGAGCTAGTTTCAGGATCTTGCCAAAACAAAGATCGTGACTACTCAATGTAAATTTAGATCATTAATCCACACATATAGGTATGTGGTCATTCCATACATCCTTTTCTTGAGAAGCATCATTCCTTCTATCGCCATGAACACATTTCTACAGTTGTCCTAATCCTGCCACATGAGGGCCCAATTATCCATTTTAAAATTCAAATTTCACCCAATTTTGCAGTCCTAAGATCTGGAACTTCTCTACAATTAATCGAAACAAAATTCAAATTCAAAACTCACAAAGAGGAACCTATATCATTTAAATTTTGCAGAAGATATACAACAATTCTAAATGAATATTAAATCCACAATTATGTAATCACACACTTACCGGTCTCATTTTAGGATATATTATATACTTCAACCTCCATGAAGAAATCTCCTGAAGCCATTAATGACTATAACTTATCTCAACCTAAATCAATAAAGCACTGATAGGCCCCCATATATTGTTAAATTTAATCATATAATGCTTAGATTTCAAAAAAATAAAATACAATAAGAACCTTTGGGATGTCGTTAACATATATAATTGACATCAACCAAGAACATCAATATTCCGACAGAAATTATTGCAGAGGAAGCAACTAATGCTCAAATTCCATACATAAAAAACCGATACAATTAGAAAATTTTGAAGTCCATTAACCACTAGAATTAACAGTAACCCAAATCAAGAGAACATCAATGAACGTACAGATATTGTTGCAGAGCAATCATACAATGCTCAAATTTCACACAACTAAAACAAAGAAATGCAATTCAATAACAAAGTTAGGGCAAAATCCATGCCTGCTTGTACTGAAATTCAATGGTGTAAGAGAGCAATATGGGGCTGATATCACTTGCATCTGGTCTAGAAACTGAGACAATGGTAGCCTTAGGCAATTCCTCGAAAATCCATTCAGGTTCCTGGCCTTGCCTAAATGAATGGAACGATGAAATTGCAGCATCTGATTGCATTTGAAAATAGCGATGATGATGATGATGATGATGGCCATCGGAGATGAAATTCTCCGAAGCCTCCCTTGACATTGCCATGCTCTCATTCCTTTTGTCCTATAATTTCATTCAAAATTCACCATGCTTATTAAATATAATGAACGAATTTAGCATGCATCCTTCGATCCCTGATCATGGGAACAAAAAAGCAAAAGGGAACTCCCAATTAGAAAGCAATGAATGGATAGAATTAAGAATCCCTTGCAGGCACAGAGAGAGAGATGACGATGTCAAAATCGTTTTAGAGAGAGAGATTGTTTTGGGGGAAGTCCTGGAAGAGAGAGGGGGAAGCGACTGGAAGAGAGAGAATGTAGAGAGAGAAACGGTTGGTTCGCGTCAAATTTTCCCCCTCTCCAGCACACCTCAACTCGCATACATTTCCACCTGCCGTTCCGTTCGCTCCAAGTTGCAGTAAGAAAAGTGCTTAATGAGTCGGTCGACCCTTATTATTTTCGTACGGTCTCTCTACCACAGGTACGTCAAAGTTGCCTGCTCGATCCAAATTTTTAGGGTTCCATACATAAACTCAACCGTGACAATAATTTAAATTTAAAATTTTTTATACAATATGAATATTATTTTTTGAATTCTTTTCTTTATTTTAACTTGTAGTGGATAAAGCATTGTTTTTTACACAATTAATGATATTTAAATATGGTTTTTATGTTTCCATGTAGAAATGAGTCACCTCTTAAAAATATATTTTTGAGATGAATTTTTTTACTTCATTTTTAAAGACATAATCTTGGAGATCATATGAAAAAAAAAAAAATTTAAAATTTAAAATAATAACTTTATAAAAAAACATTTACATAATTAATTTCAATTGTGTTTAGATAGAACACATATTTAAATCCATCTTTCCCATGGATGCTTATACCTTGGGGACGGTAATGTAGGAACGCGTTCCCTGCCACCTGACACAACTTTCTATAATTTTTTATTAAGTAGATAGACAAGGGACCGCACGGTAATAGGTGAGTAAGCTGACCCACCAAAACCCTATCCTTTGTAGTATTTCTCACTCAAAAACGGGTGGGAATAATAAAACCTGACTAAAATCTTGACCGAGAAGAATGTGGGCAGCGCGTGGGCATTTTTCCATTAAATACCCGTCACATTGACGAGTTTGTACGTGTGCCTGTTGAACGGCTCATATATATACGTACGTGCGCATTAGATAATCTAGACCGTCTACTTTCCCTTACTTACCCGAATCGGTATCTACTATTTTTTGAAGACTAAGATGGATCTCTATTATTGTAATTGGCCCAGGAGCATATGCTTTATAAATAGAGCAATGATCCAATATGCTTTGGCGCCGGCGGCATTGAAGGGGAATAAGATTTAAAATTGGAAATTATTTCTAATCTTTTTTAAACTTTCAAAAATTTTAAACGTATTTAATTTTTTTGTTTATTACCTGCATTTTTCTTTTGGAAAAAGTGTACATAAAATTGTCACCTTAAAATATAGAATTAAAGTCCTTCAAAAAATGTTGAACCATCTCGACATCAAGATATATATAGATAGAGAATAAAAGATAATTGAAATCCAAAAAATAGTACATCTTGCAATGCATTATCGAAACTGTCTATTTTCATCTCTTTGATTTGAACTGCTTTTAGAGTTTAAAATTTTATCATTAAAGCAATAATAAAGGAAAAAGTTTATATAAACTTGAGGCTTTTAACTATCAAATAAGGCGCACCTCAAAAATTTCACTAGAAGAGGTTGTTTCGATACTCAAAAATCCTCAAATTGATCATCTCGACCTCAAGATTCATAGACATAAGAAAAAATGAACTTCAAATTTCAAATTTTGAAAATTATGCATCCTGTAATATATTTTTGGACTCTCAATTTTCAATATTTTAAAGTGTTCATAGATCTGCTCAATCTACACTGTTTTAAAAGCTTTAAGTTTTATAATTAAAAATAAAAATAATTTTTTTTTACCATCATAAAGATTTTCAGTATTAAAAGTATATATTCCAACACTATTTGAAAGCTTTGCTTGTTTCCTTGGCCTTATACAGACCACACCCAAGAATAAATTATGGCACCATCCTAAGAATTTTCAATACGAAAATTACATATATGATTAAGTTTGGAGGTGCACCTTAATTTGATTGGTTAAAGCTGTAACTTTATACACCCATACCCTTTTTTGCTTGCTTTGTGAAACCAGAAAATTTGAACTTCATCATTTGGTATATTCTATTCTATAATATATTTAAAAAACCAAATCGACGACCCTGATCATCCATCTTAAAAACTGTGTTAGATCGATGGATCGACGTGTCAAATTGGCGAATCGGCCTAATTAGCAAGTTTGGGCCCAATGTTTTTTAAAAACACACTATAAATCTCTAAAATAGTGTTCTTTTAGTTTCTAAAAAAAATTAGGAGTGGTGCATTATATACTTTCATTACTTTGTAAAAATAAGTAAATACCGAGATGTTGTTTTCCTATCTGGATGTCTATTAACTATACAGTCATATCATTGAAAAAACAGATAGCCAATTTGGATATAAATACATGGTCTAAAATGGAACATACAACAATTAAAATACAATCTTATACCAAAATGAAACACGTCGTTGTTCGTTCTCTTCATCGTGTTGGTGCTACTCATTGAATTGTCTCGACAATACATCTAATCGTTTCATGTATACTTCGCAATTGTCTGAACAACTTGTTATATATTCTATGTAACAATAATAACTTAATACAATTTAAAATTCTATTAATTTTTTATTTCTCTATGAAATAAGTCACTATACAATAATAAATTAGTTGTTAATGTATGTGTAAGTTATAAATATATTAATTTAAAATTACAATCTATATTAAATATAAAAATAGTATAATCTATGCAACAATAATAATTTATTAATAACATAAGTTTAACAAGTTATTAAGATAAATAAATAATAATAATTTTAATATAATTAATCAAAATTTTATAAATTAATTATATATAATTTATTGCTTTAATTATATATAATTAGAACTTAATTATATATACTTTTATTTTTTATATATTATAAAAAATATTATTAACCTAAAAAAATTATTTTATAGATTATTTAGACGAACTTGCCTTGTATAAACAAGCGAGAGAGAGAGAAGCAATCGAATGTTGACGAACTTGCCCTTTTTTTTTTGAACGCTTGGCACGACCCTAAATAATGTGTTAAGTTATCGTTATCAATGACGACCTTGCCCTTGGTAATAGAAATGTTGTTGCAATCCACCTTAAAAAAAAGTTTTAAAAGTAACTTTAATTTAAACAATAAACGAGTGGTGTTTTTGAGTTGAGCATGATGTTTGGTTAAGAGCCTGCCCTTTGATGAGGTAAGCTTATTATATATGAAATTTTATACCAAAATTGTTAAAAAATTCTAGTTTGTTGTGGCGAAAATTTTGGTAAATTCTGGTTCGCTGTAGTAAATCTCCGTAACATCATGACATCGATTCACTGTAGCTCACCGGCTTATAACATTGTGGCACTGGTTCATTATAGCTCCGTGACGTCATTCACTGTAGCGACATGGCCAGATCCCATTTTATTAATGGATGTAAAATGACTCCAGTGATACGTGATCCAAATAAGGTGAATATGGCCAAATCGGCATTTTTTAACCTTGTATCACACTAATGGAATCACATAGATGCTTGGTCATATGCTTGCACTTCCATGTTTGATTTCACAACATGGAAGTGTGGCCTTTCATACCTCTGCTTTTTAGCATCAAAAGTGGTCTGTTTTTGGAACACTTCTATTCCATAAAAAATAAATAGAAGGGTGGTCTTAAAATCTCCCGTCATTATTTGAAACCTCTCATACTCTTAAAATCTCCGGGCATTAAACATGCCCTAAGCACAATAGTAAACAATTTAGTGCATTTCCATCATTATTTTTCATTTTTTCATTTTTTAGTTAGATTTCTAGGCATATCAAACAACCAATAATAGTGTAATAGTGGGTCTTTTGTGCTCTATTGTAGTGGGTGTGATATATAGAGGGTTGAGTGCACCATTTGGGTGGTTGGGACTCTCATGGACTTGTTAGCTCTATGACAATTATTTATAGAGCTACCAGGTCCGTAAAGGTCCCTAATCATTGTGCATAACAAATGAGCTTCACCCTAACATTAACAAGTTCGTAAAGCCTTTATGAGTTCGTAATAAAGCCATTTTGGGTATTGAAAAAGCAAAAAAATGGGTATGTACTTAATAAACAGGAAAATGAGGTGAGTTTGAAATTTTGAAAATAAGAGGAATGGTAGCATAAATTTCCTAGTAAATAAATCGGGCAAATTCCGTTTGGCTCGCGTAAAGCCAAATCCGAAATTATGCCTCCAACAAGGGTAACTAAATTTGATATAGAAATTGCCGATTTGGACTAGGAATATCAATTTGGATTGGAATTAAAGGGCACTGAGCTAATTATCTCCTAAAATCAGAAAATGGTCTCTGCTTTACAAAAGAATCCATGTTTATCTTTTAAAATTAGAAAATGGTCTCTACTTTACAAAAAAATCCATGTTTAAAATGTTTTTTCAATGATTTGAACTTCACATCATCCAAAACATATAGGAACATTAGTTTTTTTTTGTTTATAAACCCTCCTGCTTCCAACAATATGGGACTAAGGGCCATTTGTCTCCAGGGAAAAAAAAAAAAAGAAAATCTTGAGAATTATAAGGAGAGAGAGAGATGATTGAGGGTTTCCCCGGGGGTGGAACTTGGGATCTATAGGAGAAATATTATCAAGGGTGAAGAAGCTTCATTTTAAACGAATAAAATTTCTACTTATTCGGTTGGAATCTATTTATCAAAAATGACATAAAAATATGAATAATAGGAAGACTTTCTCCAATTGGAGCATCAATCATTAGAAATCCTTGGAGATTCATGATATTACGGGAAAAATATCTTAGAATTGATTTTAAAGAACTGAAATGCATCCTAAATTACAATGATACCCCCTCAAATGGACATATGTAGAAAACTTTATATATGTAGGTGTGAGGAATCGAGGTAATATTTGAAGGGAAAATATCTTCGTACCTTGTTATTTTTAAGATTCATATTTCCATAGGCCTAAGGTTTCAAAACAGATCTTGAAGTATATAAATCTCATGTTTTATATCTTCTAACCCTAGAGTGAATCCTATTTTTTTTTTATCAAAATAAATTGTAGAATGACTACCCCTTTCCAAATCCATCCTTTCTCTCTCACATATTACCCCCTCTCTCTCTCTCCACACAAGTTTTTTGGGTTTTCCTAAGTGCAAATGTGACTCTGAATATTTGTCTGGTAGGTAACCAATCACACATTCCACACACTTCGCAAATAAGCTTTAATCCCATGGAATATGTAATCTCCACCTAAACTCGTGCAGAGAGGGAGAGAGAGAGTGGGTAATAGAGAGTGTGTAATACTGAGAGAGAGAGAGAGTGAAGAGGCTTGGGGAGAGTCACGGGGGAGAGAGAAAGAAAGAAATTTGAAAGATTGACACGTGAAGAGAGAGAAATGATGGATTTAGAATGAGATGTCTTTCTACAATCTATTTGAGTTAAAAAAATATGATTAAAATGAGTAAAATTACTTTAGGGGTTACAAGATATAAAACCTAAGATTTTTATACTTCAATATATGTTTTGAAACTGTCGGTCATATTAAGCCTAAAAATAATAGGTATAAATATTTTCCCTTATTTGAACCTATGAGTGTATGCTTCAAAGGATGTGCTTTTACACCAACCACAACGATTAGGACAGTAACTCAGATGAAATTTTGCTACATAACGAAAGCAGAAACTGAAATTATGAGACTGGGGTTTTAGAAATCACTGATGTGTATTAGAAATACCATTACAATGGGGCATTGCCAATTCAGAAAGGGATTGGAGGATGTTTGGCCGATTTTCACCAAAAATTAGAAAGCTGCCTAATTCTCTCGATTTTGAAAAAGCAGCGGAAAACTAGTTATATGCAACTTTTCGCTTCCATATTTTTTTTAAACTGTTCTGCTAGATTCCTAATTTGATTGATCTTAATTAGAGGTCGAATAAGGCTAGTCCATTAGACGGTAAATTCATATTTTTAAACCTTGCATCCAACATTGGCCGAATCACAACACTACCACCCCAAATAGTTATCCTTAGTAAAAGACTTTTGTAAGGGTGTACAATACTACTTAAGAACAAATATGAGAATTTTAAGCTTTTCAATATCTATAGAATTATAGTTGCTCAGTTCTATAATTAACTGTAGAATTGCCTATCGACTGATAATATGATGCAAAATTCTTGTAACGGAATAAAGCCGAGTGACCGCAATAAGTTGCCAGATAGAATTTCCCCCAGGATAATGTTGATCAATGATCATGTGATCGACTCACTACAGCTTCATTGAAGATGGAAACAATCAATTGATCTAATGCTCGAAAATAGCAGGACGGTGATTGCGGAAATTCATGCAAGTTAGTTCAGAATCTGATCATTGTGCAAATGTGCAGGCGGATCGCAATAGAACACACAATGGCTAATATTGTTTGCATGCCTTGATGAGTTCCCATGGTTACCCATACAAAAGGACTTTCTGGTGTATGCAATGCCTCTGATCTTTGGTTTCCCTATTAATAGAAGCACCCCTGCATTTGCTCATTTCATGCAAAAATCTGAAAACAGATTGCCATCAAAAGGAAAAGAAGAACCTAGTCACAGATATAGAACCCTCATTACTAATACAAAAATAGGACAAAAATAGGACATACGTAATGAATAGATGGAAATGGCCACAACACATTATTTGTGCTCTCATTTCAGTTTTGCAGGTGGGAGAATGGGAAAATATTACAAAAAAAGTTCCTTTTTAGAAAAGAAATGAGGATGAATATACATATTACTATACAACTACTGCTCATTTAGGCATTACTTTTTCGGCGCTCATCTTTAAGGGCCTTGAACTTTGCGGCCAAGTCATCGTAATCCGGGAGCTTGGGATGTACATGTGGAGTACGAGACGGGCTATCTCTTAAATCATTGGCCTGAAACGAAACCGACCTAACAGTTTGTCTCACCATGGGGCTGCATCCTGACCGTTCATTTGGCAAAGTATTGGCCCTCATATAAGGAGGTTGAGGTAACTGTTTTGATGAGGCACCCTCTCCAGGTTGTAAGGTACTTCTATCTTCCTTGCTTTTGCCAGGAATTTCTACACCTGCCTGCTGACCACTTAAAGACTCCTTGGATGTTTGGATTAACTTGCCACCGTTATGTGAGTGTGAAGAACGAAGGTTGGTACCATTTTTTTCAGAAAAATATGTACCAACCTTTCCTACAGGTTTTCCATTTGAACTTTGGTTCATTAGGCTTTCGGTCGTGGAATCCAGATGCTCCATAGAATGTCTTTTCATGCTTCCACATGGGTGGCGTAATTGAGGATGATCCTCTGATCCCTTTCCATCATAAACCAATTCGTCGACGAAATTACATTCATGGTCTTCGGCATTACTAATGGGCATTTTGCAGGGGAAATCTCGATTGGCATACAGGGTGTCCTCTTGATTTAGCCGTTGCCTTCTTGATGATGTTCTGTTGCCATTATTGGAGTTTCTTCTTCCATTACTCAAAACCTTACCATTTTCCTGAGTCCTCTTTCTTCTGAATATCCTTCCCTTTGCGGATGGGAGGTCGATTTCTATATACAGGCCCTCTTCCAGTTTCCACTTGCATTTAGAACATTCCATATCCGAATTGTCTTCTTCCGCCTCATCATAATAAAGTGCATATTCCACATCTTTCATGCTCATTGTCAAATGGCAATCTCCTGTGTGAGCACTTTGGGGTGTGTTGCTACTAACTCTCGTGGCCTTCCTAACATCTTTCTGGTTTTGAATTTTCAAAGGCATCTGCTTCGTTATGCGATCACCCTTCTCTTGGGGTTGGAGATGACTTTCTTTGTGATGTAGTTCATGTGATGCTAACTTAACAACTCTGTTCTTTCCCATTTCACTATCTTCTTTGAACTCTGGACAAAATTCTTCACCTCGATCAGTATTAACTACGACGCCCTCTTGGACTTGTGGTGACCATTTCAACCCATGAACAAAAGTCTGCATAGAATATCCATCCTTAACATGGGTGAATTCAAATTCAGGATCCATCTCCATATGCTTACTGAGCATGCCATCAAGAACAGAGGAGCGCACATGAGGTTGTGGTTTTATTACTTGAGAATTTGAATCTCTCAAATTACTAGTGGTTACGTCTGAGGCAGCACGACACTGGCATGAATTCTCCCTCAGTTGTTTCCATGTTGATCCTCTCTCATCTCGTCGGAGATGTCCCCTGTGCTTCTGTCCATAATGCTGGAATGGCCCATACAATTTGGTGGAGTTCCTGTTTGCGCCATTGATACTGCTAAATATAACTTGAATCTCCCTTTCCCCAACCTCCTCATCTCTTCTGGGCACAGATTCTTTCTTTTTAACATGCAACCCCTGGACCTGCATTAAAGTTAATGCATTAATACAGATTGTGCCCAGCCCAAAAATTCCCTAAAACAAGGAAAAGAGGATGCATGCTATAATTCTGTCGACAATGAAAAATCCATAATCCATCAGGTCATCACTGTCCACTAAAATATGAGAGAGAGAGAGAGAGAGAGAGAGAGAGAGAGAGAGAGAGAGAGAGAGAGTAGTATAGTCGTACGTACTACTACTATTAATTAATTAACTTACTTACCTACCTACTACTAAGTAAAGTTAAGTAACGTAACGTAACGTAACGTTACG